CATTAATTCTCTAGCCTGTGGAGCAAGATTTGTTTCTGTAATAAAATAGGTGTTTTTCAGGAGGGTCCTTTTACTCATATTGCTATCAGATAGTAGACGTCAGCTAAGGAAAGGGCCTCAGCTAAACCTAAAGACACATGCAAAATTCCTGAGCCATTTCTGCTTTCAGCAAGAATCCTTCTGGAATAAGGAAAGTAAAATTCGAGAATTAAAATAATTTTAAAATTCTGAATATATTTCTGTTCACCTGCCTGTTTTCCTGAGGGAAGAATACGTGTCCTTGAAAAGGTCACACTGTCAGGATGGCTTTATTTGGCTGACAAAGCTGAAGTTCTAATAAATCTGCATTTGTCTTCCTTTTAATTTAGGAAATTAAAAGGATATTTTATCTTTTTCAAGATACTTTATTTTATCAAGTATACTTTATCTTTTTCACATTTATATTTTATCTGTTTCACAGGAGACTTTCTGAGATAGACATACAGACAACCAGAAGGATGTTTTCTTAGGTCGGAAATTACTGAATATTAGATAGTGTCTGTTTGTTACTGCCCGTTCCCTTTCCCCCGTTCCTTAAAAGAAACAGGTTCCATGGGAAACAATTAGCATGAAATAATCTAATTTAATGAGATTGCAGTGCATATACACTAGTTTCTTGTACTGATTCTAAAGCAATTTTCCCATTACCTGCCTTGCCTAATCTTTCACACTGTCTTGAATGTGCTTTATTCTACTCAGATGTTCTGTAGGAGTGGTGCAAACCCAAAGTGAGACTTGTCCAAGGGACTGTGAGAGTTTGGGTTCTGGAGCTCATCCTCACTTACTGGTTCACATCCTGCATTGATTCAGTGGCAGCTATCAGCACTAAGTACTGTCACAGATTGCTGAAACTGAGCACTAGAAAATAAGAAATTGCTCCATTTGTAACCGCTGCTCTCTTAACATTTTGACTCCCAGCTTGTGGCTGTGACAGAAATTGGTTCTTTTTTTGTAGCTGAATGCATTGTGTAAACCACAGCAGCATCCTTCTGCTAGGCTCATTACCAACACGTTTTAAAATGTGTAAAACAGTATAGTATATTTGCCTGGGAACATGAAATTTCTGAACTATATTGCCAGAGCATCAAATGATACAGCCTCAGAAGAACTAGGGAGCATCACGTGATATAATCTCAGTAGAAGTAGGTATTCTTTAGACAAAACAGAATAAAAGGAATGTGACAATGTGCCCAAGACTATTATAATGTGAAAAAATGTGGTAGAAATTGAGGACAACACTCCCTCTGCCCCTGAATTTCATTTCAGAAGACTAATTCTGTGTGGCTGAAGAGAGGACTTTTCTTCCCAAGTTTTTGTGTTGAAGGGAAATGGGGGAGGTTTTTGTCTGATGGCCAAATTCCTCTTCCATGTGATGGATTCTTCTTGGAGATCCATATCCCCATCTGGCCAACTGGGGAGCCTGAGGCAGCCTCTGAGATACTCTTGGGAAACTTCAAGTGTTTTAAGGCTGGTTTTTACCTGTGGGTCCCCAGGCTTCACATTCTATCTTGAGCTTATGGAAGTTGCAGCCCAGAATCATAGCAGACATCCCATAGAAAATGAAATTGCATTACATTTTCAGTCATTTATAAAGCAGTGTGCAGCAGATCCTCAAGTAGTTTATTTTCTTTAACTTACATGTGTATCTCTGGAAGGAAACACATGTTTCTCCTCATGGTCAAGTCCTGGAAGTTGCAGTTTAAATTTGATGAAGTGTTTTATTCCTCCAGATAAAAACAAATAAATAAAAAATTAGATTTAAATGCATTTGTTGATGAGGAAAGTCAGGAATCCTCCTAATTAAGACATTTCTTAGAAAGGTAAAATTTTTATCTGGGAGCATAAAACACTTCATCAGTTTTAAAGCCACATCTGCAAGGAGTGGGTAAAGAGGAGAAACAGGCATATTTCTTCATTTTGGCTTGTCTGTGAGTTTAAGACTTTTAACAACAGTTTTAAAAATATTTAAACCCAGTTAGAAACACTTGCAATATAGTAGGGATAAAAGTGCCCTCCCTCCCTCTGTTTTTAATCTGGTTCTCTTGATGGAATAAACTACAAGGTTGAATTGGTAACTGGATTATTGCCTCATAAAACAGCACGAGGTTACTATTATCCTTTAATTTTATATCTTTATTAGGGAGTAATGTTGGTCTTATTTAAATCACTGACTTCTCTAATGGTTTTTCTCCCCTTTTACAAATTTATAAAACTAAACCCTAAAGGATTTGGTATAAGTGCAATTGGCATAACTGCTGTTATAAAAATCTTTCTGTTAGCAGTTGGTTATAATCAGCCGCTTTAACTGGGCTCAGAATGAAGCAGAATTTAGCTGTTGATAGGTAGAATAATCCTGATAAAATATTATTTCTGAATTTTATTTCAAAAAGCTCCATTTCCAGTAAGGACTTCTGAATTTTGAGGCAGTGTAAAGATGAACAGCAGTGCCCTGGAAACTTATAATTTAGCACGTTTGTGCAAATGATGTATGAAACATATTTTGTATTTCTACAAAGACTTAAAGAAGCTTGTCTTTGTCTTGAAATTCAGTAAACTAACTTTAAAATTCATGAAAGTTTTTAGAAGACGACTAATACAAGTAGCTTATTTAATGATGCATTCCAGTGAATACACCCACCTGAATTTTGGAACACAACACATACTGTGGGTGAATCATTGGCAGTTCTTAGTAGTAAAACTCCTATTGGATTTGTGTCATCATGGTGTTTTTAAAATTTTGATACACTGGGTTCATTTTTGGAAAAATGTGACATCCATTGATTGATCTCAGTGTGCTTTGATTAAGCATCCATTAATAGGGAAAGAAACATGGGTCTGTCTGTTCTGGTGTAGCTCTGTAGCTGAGTTATAGTTGGGTTTTATACAGAAAGTGAAGAATCTGCCACCTTCAGTGCCTGACTGACAGAATTAGAGCATTTGCTGTTTGAATGCAAGCCAGGTACTGACTTTTCAGTCAGTGTACTTAGAAACTGGTCAAATAATTTGGTACAAATTTTGTATTTTGACCATTTTTTTCTGAGAGAAATCCTACCAGTGCAATAACATGAACACACTACAACCTTTTAATTAAATCAAAGCAGATTTTAAGTTATTAATGGAATATTTTAGTATCAGTCAGAATCATCGCTGTGTTTGCAGTTGCCTCCTTTGATTGGGACTGCTGCAGGCAATGCCATGTAGAGCTGCTTTATCTTAAAATATCCATTGTTCATGGCAGGCTCCTTTCTGAAAATTGCCTATAGTGGGTATTTTAAAGAAGCCCTTCAATTCCTCTTTTAGCTTCATTGAACAAAGATTGGAGAAGGTATTCACAAATACAGGAGTGTGGGCTCCACATTGACCAAAAAGTAATGGGAAGTGATTACAGTTTTGGTGAAGGCATTGTGAGGGAAGACATTGATGTCTTGTATCCCTCTGAAACTGAGAGGAGACTAAAACCATTTTGAAAAGTATGAATTATTTTGAGCTGCCTGATATGGTGAAATACACGCAACATGATTTTCTTGAAATTTGTCTTTTCCTTATGTAACATCATAGCAAAAATAAGTGAAATGTGAATGAAAATAATTTTGAAATTTAGGCAAGAAAGACAGGAGAGTGTCATTTGGTGTCAGGAAAAATCCAGATGAAACTTGAAAGCAAAGTAGACTGGGGCTGTGCATTTGTGTGTGTTCTAGAAAATATCTATGCAAAACAAAATTACTTTTGGGGATTAAGTGGAGGTATGGCAAGTAAGTGGCACTTGAGATTAAGAGAGGAGATATTCACAGGGCAATGCAGGGCAGTGGGTGAGAATATGTGGCTTGTTCCACATAGGTTCCATGGGTCAGGTTCCTTTCAAATACTCTGCAAATGCCAATACAGCTGTCCATGTTTTACCCTTGGTTGCATTTATTAGTGCTTGCTGGTCAGAATTTAAAACAGAGATTCATAATACGTTTATATTATTGGGCAGAGTCCATGGTAATTCCTTGTGGTGCCTTCTTGATAAACAAATCTAGGTAATATTTGATAAGCAAATCCAGGATGTTTGGGTTCCTTAACATATGTATTTACATATTGGTTTTTTTTAATGTAACATTAGTTTTGGTTAATGATGTGATTATTGCATATATTAAATATCTCTGTCACATTTTTTTTTGTTCTAAATGATGCAAATTTGCTTAACTCCAAAATGGATCTTTTCTGAGAATGGACACTGTAAAATAATAGTGTGGCTTTTTAGTTAGGGCTACCATGATCATTCACAGGCAGAATGGGAAAATAGAATTTTCCTATTGAAGATCTCCATATTTGATGAGAATGATTCACCCTATTAGAGAAGGTATAGACATAGCAGATAATTAATATAATGTCTCTCATTTAGCACTTTGTAGGGAACCACTTGTTACAAACCACTTTGTGTATTTAATTTAATCCTAAAGAAATTCAATGAACCTTAGAGAGGGGACTTCATGCTGATAATTGCATGATAACCTGTTTTTATGTCAGACACTTAATGGCTAAGAGGTTATCATTAAATGTGTATTAAGCAGTTCTGTTCTATAGCTGTCTTTCTAAGATGTTCTCTCAAGGGTTATCATTTGTTGACTACCTAAACAGCTGCCTGTATTCAACATTTTAGCTTCTTTATTGATTTGTTTTCAGAGCTATTTTTTCTCTTGAAGGAGTCAAAGAAAAGTCCCTGTTTCTGTTGGTATATTTTAGATAGTTCCAAGAGTAATACTGAAAGTGTTGAAGCACTTTACATGAAAATAATCTTCATCTGGGAACTTTGCTTCAGGTTTTAGTGAAACCACAACCTCAGTTAGGGTGTTTGTTAATTGCAGATTTATCTTGGAAGTGAGGACAATAGATTAACATGTTTTTTTTTAATCTTCTCTTTTAATTTAGACTACTGAGCTGTAAATTGAAAGGAAGATAATTTCTGCTTGTGGAGGAAAAGAAAGGTGAATGACCTCAATGGAAGACTCCCAGGATCTAAGTGAACAGTCAGTAAGTATAAATGTTGCTAAATTGAATGGAATAAATTGAACCCTGTTCAACCAAGTTGTGTGAAAGGATTTTACTTTGGATTTGAAAATTATAGTAAGATCTGGGGAAATCTTCTGAGCTCCTAGTTTTAAACCTTTTAGTTTGTACATTAAATGGTAAAAGGGGTTTTAATCCTTTTTCCCTGTTGAAAGGAACAACATCTTTGTTACGTAAGATTTTGTGGAACTACAATTGTTAGAGGGATATAATTAAGCTGCATTGGAAGAATAAAATGTTAGAAATGTTCACAGTGGTATGCCTTGTTCAAATAATTGCATTAAAATGTATCTCCATAGTGGTCTGTCAGTTTTTCCAAATCAAGAGTTACCAAAAACAGAAGCAAAATATTTCAAATGGTCAGACTGGCAGATGACATACAATAATTTTTTCAGGATTGTGAGAATTGGTAGTCTATCTCCCATCCCAAGTCAGAGACAGATTCTTCTTTTCAGTGATATTTCTGGGAAAAATGGGGTGGACATTTCTTCTCCTTTCCTTTCTTATTTTTCCTTGCCTTTAAGGATATCATCTTCAGATCTCCTCACCACCAGACTACAGTTCTGAAGGGACAGCAGGCTCTGAGCAAATTCAAAACTATCTGGGCTTGCCATCCAATGTATTGGGCTTTTTAGCATCTTAATTTTCTGCTGTTTCTTACTACTTAAATAGGGACACATTTTGCCAGTACCATGATCCCTATGATTCTCAGCTTGGACTTAGTGTACTAAAGATGAACAAAGGGATTTAGTATTTCTATTTCTGACATGCTGAAGGAGGTTATCCATGCAATAAACTTGAAAAGTCTGAATATGTATATAAATTTTTAGAGACTTTTATGGGTAACATAAGTGCAAGTAAGTGGGAAGAATTGCAGTGTTTCTAAAATGTGAGTAATTTTCTTTAATAAGGAGTACTTTGCTCCTGGCTGGGTAGCTCCTATCTGAGACTTTATCTTGGACTAGAGTTTTATTACTGATTTTAAATGGTACAGGACTGGAAAGTCTTAACAGTGTCTTAAGTCCCCATGGTGGCACTACCTGGGACAGCTGCACATATTTATGGATTTAAAGTGTTCCCAAGCAAAACTTTTGAGCCTGTAAAAGCTACATGGCTTCATAATTTAATAAAGTTTTATAAAGTTCATAAAAGATTAGGCAGAAGTTCATCTCTTGTAGTCTGTGAAACACTTTTTCTGTGGAGTATTCATGGTGTGGTTATTAACAGGAGGTAGATGAGCCAGTTTAGCTTACTGAAAAAACATCTTTCCATAGTAGTTAAAATGTTTTTGCAACACTGGATGCCTGATAAATACATATTTTAGAAGCAATTTTATGACCCCATCATAGTATAATCTCTGTAGTATTTCTCATAATTCCTACATGGTTTTATGCTACATGTGAAAATGGTCTGCAGATTGCAAATTGAGGTGAAATCTGTGCTGTGTTGCCTATGAAGGTGGTGTTTGCTGTCTTTATGCTAGTATCACAGAAAGTAATGATTCCAGACAAGTTTATTCTTCTTACTCTTCACTAACAGTGTCAGAACTTGAAGGTAATGGTTGGGAGAGCCATTTCATCACTGCTTGTATCCAGGTGGGCACTGAGACTAAAATCTCACCTAGAGCTCGGGCACTCTCCTGGGAATTGTGTGAGGCCTGTCTGCCTAGAGCAGGCACCAAGCCTTCATTTCCCAACTTCAAAAGCCATTTCACTGTTACATCATGGTTAAACTCCTCTCTTAGCCAATTTTCAAAAAAGAAAATAGCATTTCTGGCTTAGTTCCTTAAAAGCCACAGGACATGTCTGTGGGCTAGAGATCTCAGGAAGCAGGAGGCTTTGGTGATTTAAACTCTAAGGTATCAGATGTATCTGCTTGAAGTGCAGCTGTGCTGTTTTGTACTGGTTAATGCATTTTATACTGGTTAGCTCTGGGCAGTTTCTGCCCATCAGGCAGGATTTCGAATTCTTGATGTGTTCAGGCAGCACAAGTACTTCATGCCAGCCTCAACATTTCTTTTGGGAGTTAAATGTATAATATTTAGATCATGAAAATTCATGGAGCATAAGGACCTAGCCTCTGTTGCATGTGTATTAGATTGTGTGAATAAGCATGAATGTGAGACCTGTGCTCAAACTTGTGCTGATGCCTTGGCTTCGAATAGTCTAGTCCTTGGTTACTTTAAAGACTGCCTTTCTCTGCAGCTGGGATGGGTTAGAAGGTGTTTGCTTTTGCATGGTGTGTTTGACAGTCGAGTTTTCTGTAGAGAAAGATTCCTTTATTGGATTAATTTCCCAGGGAATTCTGTTAAAGAATCTTTCATCCTTGGGTAAAAAAGCCAGGCACAGTTCCTTGGTATAGTGAACAAGAATAATTTTCAGGTTTTTATTTAAAGAAAGGAAATTATTCTAACTTTTGAGAGTAGATCATCCTCCTGAAGCATGATATACTGTAGTGTAGCTTTTATTCTGACAGTCTTCAGTCTAAGTTTTAGATCACTATTATTATATTAACTCAAAAAATACCCCAATAAGAAATGATTGGTTGTGTGATTCCTGTCCTGAAATTATATCAGTTAGGTGAAATTTATATGATCATACCTAAGAGCAATTTCACAGCATCCCTGTTTCCACATGAGAAATAAATTTTTTCCCTTTTATCTCAGTGCAATGACTGCATGACCACATACTGCTTCAGGAATCTGTGCTACCCTATTCTCAGAGCCTCTGAAGAGTTGTTTTTGACTGAATTGAACAGCTGCTGTTTTTTGAGATGCCAGCTTGTTTAGATGTAATATATATATATATATATACACATATGTATACATACACATTATGTCAGTAATTTATTTGTTTTTCCTATTTTTGACCAGAAGTCAGTCTACTTGTCTAATTGTTGTACTGTAGAGCCTCTGTATTGGGAAACCTCTTGTGTCCCCTTTCCTCTGCCTTCCCTTTGTTGGCAGAGCTGGGGGAATCAAGTCTTAATCATGATCATTCAGCGAGAAAAAGAGTCAGAATCAGAATAGAATTTATTATGCTTTGGCTTTCCTGTCTCTACTCACAAGTGAATAGGTGAATGGCTCTACTTTGAAGACCAGCAGGAAAATGATGCAATTTACTATCTGATGCAGAGGTGAGCTGGGATCCATCAGGTGCAGTGGAGATCCAGTGGATCCTTGCGGCTGGCATGGAGCAGTCTGGGATGGGGCATATCATGCTACTGTACTTTCTAGGGTGGGTGTGTGTCCAAGAAAGCTCATAACTCTCTTTTCCTTTCCAATTCACATGCAGAATATATTTGTACATCCGTGTATGGAATTTTCATTTAATTTATGGGAATTAACTCTGAGTGAAAAAGAGGAAAATAGTAAGACATGTATTCTGAGTATTCTGAGTGAAAAAGAGGAAAATAGTAAGACATGTATAGCATAGATAGAAGAAAATAACCAAATGATCCTTTTCATTTTCTTGTGTGAGGTTTGTCATCAGGTGCAGACTACTACTTATCAAGTGAAAGAATACTTAAAACCACACCAATTGGTCTTACATGGTCTTAGATGGAGCTATGTTTAAGTTCTATTTGTTTTGAAATGGAAGAGAAGGAAATTTTACAGATCTTGTATTCATGAAGAGTCTAGCAATAGGGAGACAAAAGTTTTTCCAGACTGGTCTTGGAGATGATAAATAAAACTATAATTTTTTAGCACCTAAATAGTTCTCTGCTGTGCTTCAGTATAGCAGACACACTTGGGATTTTGAAAACTACCAGTTTACATTCTTTATTTTGTCTCTTTTAGTCATCACTTTCTGTTCAGTCTGTATTAGTAGAAGAAGAACAATTTGGCTGCTAACTTCCTAGTTTAGGGTTTCAAAGGGCCTTATTAGAAACTGGTGTAATTTCATCCCCTGGTCCTTTTATATAACAGCCTGCATATTTAGATTACTTCATTTTAAACTAGAATTAAACAATAGATTGCAGTGCTGTAGGACAGGACACTAGCAGATGTGAAGCTAAACCTGAGTGAACAGGTTTTTATTTTTGTGACATTTGGACAATCATCCCCCTTGTGCCCTGGGTAAGTTATTTGTTTTTTATCAGATTGTGCAGACTGTTATATCTGTTACTTGCATTTATGGCCCACTTGCAGATGGACGTTCCTTGGCAATCTTTTTTGGACAGTGTTGTTTTCCCATTTTTGTTTTGTTTTAATGTGTGAAGCTGTCAGATGTGATCCCTTTGCAGATCAGTTTTCAGCTGCAGCTACTTCTCTGTTGCATGAGCCCTGTACCTGCAGCATTTAATCTTCCCCACATCTGGGGTGGGCAGCCTGCTAGCACTTCGGCTGGAGGTCATTGCAAAGAAATAAAAATTAGTTTTAATTCTTTATCTGATTTTAAAATGCTTTGTTTCACTGTTCTGCATTGCAGCACAATATGTTGTTGTTCTTATCTCTGTTATATCAGTATTAGTAGGACTTGGGATACTACAGGCAATTCATCTTCTCAGATTAGTGATGTAGCTTGAAAGAGTTATCTGGAAGTTACCTGGTCTAGCTGCTGGTCATGAAATGATGGCAGTATGCACAAATACTTCAGTTATGAAAGCAAGGAACATTTAAGATAGGTAAGTGAAAAAATTACGAATGTAGTAAGAAAAAAATAGTTTTCTTGATGAGTGATTATTTGCTTTTAATTAAAATGTCATTGAAGAAAAATGCCATAACTTCAACTCAGCTGTAATAGAAAGTAGTAGAAAACCAGGCTGCCTTTTTGAAGGTTTGTTTCAGAGTATTATTGAGAATTGCTTAGGTATTTTACTACCTCCTTTCTACAGACACGGTAACTGGCACAGAGAGGCGGTGTGCCATAGAGGATCCAAAATTGTCACCCTGTTTGAATTACAGTAAATAAAGAATAAAATGTAATACCATAATTCCTTGTCTCTCATCTAATAGGAATTTG